GGGAAAGAGAAGTTGAAAGGGACCGATGTTCCATCTTGCTGTTCTGGCATATTCTCAAATTCTGTCTTTTGTTGAGACTGATTAACACACTTTTCCTCTAGTCGATTTTCTCTTTTTTATTGGGAAAAAAAAACCCTGAAGTATGTTTGTCAAAATTAACTATTAAAAACCATTTAAATTGTTTGAACTGAATAATTAAGGATCTCTTACTGCTGCATGCTGCTTTTTCGCTTTCTGCAGCCGCATCTGAATCACACTGATTTACTGCTCTGACTTGGGGGAACAGTTTCACTTGTGCAATTAATATTTTCAAATATTGACCTGTCCTGCTGCTGCTAGAACTGATGCTGATAGTGATGGTGATTTCTTTCTCTTAAATTGGTGGTTCTAGCACCGTTCTTATTTCACTGTGCTTCCAGCGAGCCCTCAGGTAGCACTGACTTTGTTCATAAAAAATGTGAACTAGATTTGATCTGGTAACCTAAAAATTAAAAATTCAGGAACAGGATGTAGGGCCTTTAAGCCATTCAGTACTCTTATTTTGCTTTGCATTTTTCCTTAGCACATCAGGACTACTGAGTTGTGAAAGCTTCTGCAAGAACACAGTCTGCATTTGTCTTACCCATAAGTCAGTCTGACCCAGGAGGATCTCACAGGCACTATCTGTATTGCCAAATATTGCATGCTTATATCCTTTGCCATGTATTCTTGAAGCGCAACCAGCTGATTTTTTTTTTTTTCCCCTTAATTTCAGCCAATTCTTCACGAACCATCCTGGAAGCAAATGAAGAATTTAAGTCCATGTCTGGGACAATTCAGCTGGGGCGAAAGCTAATAACAAAGTACAATCGCAGGGAACTGACGGACAAGCTGCTAATCTTTCTTGCCCTTGCCTTATTCCTGGCCACAGTGCTCTATATTTTGAAAAAAAGACTCTTTCCATTTTTGTAAAATTCCAAAGCTGAACTGAACTATTACGAAAGATCAGAAAGAGATGGCACAATAACGGTAGGGCTTTTAAATAAAATAATAAAGGGATATTGCAATAGCTGAAAGAGCGTTAGAGCAGGCATGACTTTATACTGTCCCCATGGAGCATGTGACCTGCCTAAGAAGAGCTTAAATGAGCACGAGTCAGGAAGAAGCAGGTAGATCAAGGTGTGGAAAAGAAGAAACACCAATTTGCCTGTAGGTTTGGGGAACCAGACAAACACTTGAAGAGGTAGGCACTCAAACGTGCCAGTCTTAACTTTCTCTCTTTGTTTTGCCTTGAAATGAACTTTTGTCCTTGGCTTGGACTGGAAGCTGCTTTGACATCTGTGTGTAAGGTGCTGAGAGTAAGAGGAAGGATGGAAGAGAGAAACTCACATGCATTCCGTTAATAAACTATTTATTGTATCCATGTAAACTGAGTTTTGTTTAAAAACAAAGTCTAATGGATTGAAAGAGCCTGAATAACTTCCAGGGTAAAAATTCTGCTTAATACTTAATAGCAGTGGTTGCTTATGGATTGTTTTTTCTGGGAGCATAGCACACGTGCAGTTGGGCTCTGTTCCTCTGGCTTTGGGAGGGCCCTGACCAAAGCAAAAATAGGAGCCCCATTTGTTACTGTTAGTTCACACAATGTATTTGAGAATTATGTTGCCAATCTGTTGAAATCAACAGCCTTTTTGCTCCTTGTCTTTACAAAATTCCACTTAATACTTTATATTTGCAAAATACTGCCAAGTTGTAAGTTTGAAAGTTTTTCTTGCTTATATGGTTGATATTTTCTCAGTTAGTAAAATCTTTTGCAATGATTACCTTCCCTATCTCTTGTGCTTTAGTAATGGGAGTTGATTTCCTTTAATAGCATATATACCAACTTGCCACACTCCATGTAGTACCTTGAAGTACCAAAAACTGCACTGCAATATTCTTAAAACTGATGTTGCCTTCCCCTCTGGAAATTGTTTCATTGCTTCTTCAGAGCTGACTGGTAAAGTTAACATTCTGTTTAGGAAATTCTCACAGAATGGTTAAATACTGCCTTAATTTAGTACTTAGAAGTAAACTTTTAATTAAAAGGCAGTGCTACATATATCCTAAGAAATATGACATCAAGCAAATTGCAGTATGTAAGTTTATGTGTTATTTCAGGCTAGATTACCTTTTTAATTAGTACTCAGTAGTATGTTTAGAGAGAAGAGGTGACCAGTTGATGATCTTGTCATTGTAATATTAATTTACTGGGTCTTATCAGTAGTCATAATTTACCCTTTTGCTGGCAGCTGCTACAAGCTTGGTTAAATAGAGAAGTGGCAGTAGGTTGTGGTAATCCAAACCGGAGTACAGGACAGTTGAAGTGGTGATTGTGTGGCTATGTGCATAAACAAGAAAAGCTGGAATTTGTAATCGAGTTCAAAATCAGGGGCTCTGTCTGAAGAGTTGATACCTGAGCCTTTCTTCCTGGTGTAGTAAGAAGGGATTTGGAAACCTCTGCACTAGGATCTGTACATCCCGCAGAGGGCACTACTGCACGGGAGTCGAGAGCGTTTTCTTGCCCTGGAAGTCCTGTAATAGCAGACTGGACAGAATGGATGTGGCTTTTCCCATACTGTTTATTCATCGTATTTCAGTGCAGCCTTCCTAATAGCCTTTCCTGAGATACAGAATTACACAAAGATTGAAATAAATTGACAATGTGCATGTTCTGGTTTTGAATAAGAGAGAAATTACTTGGCTTAAAAAAGGTAAGTTTCACAAAGTCAACGCATGTGTGCTTTTTAATAATAAAAAAAACCTTGCTTTGGAAGAAGTCTTCTGATGAGCAGCTGCTAACCAAGGAGAGCGTTGTGTAGTCTGCAACTTGGGACCACAATGGAGCAAGTTCCATCCAGCTCAGTGATAGTAGTGTTGCATTTCACACGTATCATCGCTAGTGTCAGGCTCCTGCCCTCTCTGGAGTCCAGTCGGCCCTGTGCCCCTCTGCACAGATCTGTACAAACATACAAAGGGTGATAAAAGTGTGTCTGCTTCTCCCCCCGTCTCGGAAAATATGGCTTTAAATACAAATAATATTTAAGACATTAAGATTATTTAGATTATAAATGCATTTCAAATTAATTGCTGTGCAGCAGTTGTTATTTTCCAAATCAGCAGTGCAGCGCCATTTTATGCAACTTCAGAGCATTTTTATGGACTACGTACTGCTCCTAGGCCAGATGTAGCCGTGCAGCTTTATTTTTTTCAGCCAGCTTGAAAACAGTCTCGTCTTTCTGAACACGGTGCCTGCAGGTGGTCAAACATCAGCTGCCTCAGTATTTCCTCCCTCATGTGGATGCAATATAAAAATAGGTTGTTGCTAATCTCTGAGATACTGGGACGCTAAGCAGAGGAGAGAGCTCTGCTGTAAGCAGTGATGCAGCACGACTGTCTGCAGGAAGTTTCACTGGGTTTATCTATGCGATGTGCTCCTGTCAGAACGTAGATCAACCTTAAAAAAACAGCAGCTTTCTCACAGTGCTGAGAATTTCAGTAAAGTTTGTTTTAAAGGGGTGATCTTTTTGGATGGGGATTGTAATGTAGCAGTTTGAGGGAAAATAAAAGGTCTGTTCCTGAATGTCTTGGTTTTTGCTCTGTTCTCGTCTTGTTACTGAAGTGTTAGCTTTCAGACCTTGACCTGCTGGAACACTCTGAGGGCAAAAAATAACTTTTAAGGACCTTCCTTATGACATTTGCTTTCTGTTGCATCCGGATTTCATTTAAAAAAATAATTTAGTCCTTTTGTAAACATACCTACCTGCTCTGTATAAACTGATTGTCAATTTACAGTCCTGAGAGACAAAGGAAGTAAGTCAAGAAAGATCAAGGACAACTGGACCTTTTGGGAGAGGGGAAGAGTAGAAATCCGCCCCAGGATGCAATGGGTCGATCTGCAGCACTTGGTAGTTGAACTGTTTCCTTCCATAGGCAGCCAGAAAGTGTCCAGGCTCCTGATGGGCCACAGACCTAAAAAGAAATAATCAGTGGAGACAGCAAGATAAATGTTATTTCCTCTTTGGGGTAAGAAGGTCAATTTGGTGAAGCACCATCTCTAACATGTGGGGCCAGCACCCCAAGTGGTGGCTCAGTAGTACACCCTGGCTTGGTGTTTGGGTGCCAGAGGAGAGCCAGAGCTGGTAGCAGGTGTCTTGGATCCCTTCTAGGCACGGTGGGATGCCTCAGTCAGCCCATACAGCCTGCAGCTGGGGATGGCTGAGTGGGTGTGCTCAAACATCGTACCTCTAGGCTGCAGCATGGTGTCTGGCTTGCTCCTCGCCTACAGATCTTGTTCCTGGCTTGAAGGTAGGTCTCTGTATCTGATCTTTTGCATAAGTGAGCGGGAGCAGTACCGTGGGAAGAGGAGGTGGTTGTGCCTGGCTTTTTGTTGTCTGATGCTTGCAATGTTTATCCAGGGAGTGTGGAAAGTTGGACCTGCCCAGTTCTTCCGTGTCTACAGGGGGATTTACATTTGCATCTTCTGCCTTTTGGGTAGCCCGCTGGTCTCTGTGGCTACCTCTGAATATGAAGATGGGGTTTGAATCGCGCAGGATGGTGTGTCTCAGGGTCTTGCTTTTGCTGCATGCCTGAAGTTGTGTTGTAAAGGGTAAAAACTGGTGTCACACCAATTTATTTCAAAGGGAGTAGCATTTTCCTAGGTGCTTCACCCTTCAAGTTTGCCCTGGTAAGTGCAGCAGACTCATCAGGATGGTGAGAAGAGGATGGCCTCTGCTTCCCTCTGCACTTTTGGGCTCGGACGTGACTTGGGGGCCGAGGGTTGGAGCCCTCCTGAGACCAGGAGCTCCAAGACTGCAGAAGCAGGTGTTTGGGGAGCTTTAGAGGAAGAAGGAGGGCTCTGAAGAAGTGTTCAGGGCTGTGCCGGAGGGTTCATACACAAGTGAAGGCAAACAGGAGTGCTCCTGTTGCTACCTGGACCGTTCCTCCCCCCCCAGGCAGCAGGTATCAGATGTGGTCCTGCAAGCTGATAGTGGGATTCACTGTTGCAAAACAGTTGCAGTGAAAATCTTTCTGCTTCAAAGAATAACATGCCTTTAAAACAAGCAGCAAGGACCTACTATGAGCTTAAAAAGGGCCTGAAATCTCCTTGCCCTGGAGTTTGGAGTTCAGGGGCTGAGACAGGCAGCTGGTAGCAATCAAGCAGCTGTGGGATAATGAACTCCTGCTCGTCAGCTGAGTGGTGGTTAACTACCTGGGTCCTCCTGGCAAAGTGGGCTGAAGCCATTTAAAAGGCTGTGGGTATTTTGCTGTGTAGCTGGAGCCACTTATCGATGAGGCAGTTCTGATGCCTCAGTGGATTTAGAGGTTTAGAGCTTGCTGGTTTGTGAGAGTCCATGTCAGGTCCTGCCTATGGAGTCCAACCTACTGAGATCAGTTTTCTTTTTCTGAACACCTGTGGAAAAGGGGAAAATGCCTGGAAGTTGGCCCTCAGTGTGTCAGAAGCCAGACAGCACTGTTGGATATTTAGCTGTGTTGCCAGCATGTGGTTATCGGGCTGTGAATGCAGATGTGATCCTGGTCTTCATTCCTACGTGGCCATGGTGGAAAGCCTGTGGGCGGGAGCAGGCATCTGCCGGGTAGCCGTGTTGCCATAGCCAGGATCGTGGGCATCTCCCCAGTACATCCCTGAAGTGTGGCATGAAGGTCACTTCCTAAGCATTTAGTTAGATGTATGTTTTCAAGGAAGGTCAACTTCTAGTGACTGCAAAAAACCATGGACCTGAGGGAAAGAATTGGAAATAGTTTTAACATATGGCATAACTGTGCTGAAAAGACTGATTTTATTTGACTTATTTATTGGTTATAGTGTCAGCAAATACAGAAATATTACAGGATAACTCTCTGTGGGAAAACAAATGAAGAGTGTAATATTATTTATTCTTTTCCCCCTCTAAGAATTGAGGGGAAATCAAGTCTGTATTTGAAGTCCTACTTTTGAAATGCTTTCCACATAACTGGCTTTACCAAAATGGAAGGGTGAATTCATAGCTTGGAAGTTGCTAAAAATGTCTCTGCCAAATGTGCACGGCTGCTATCACATGCCAAGTGGTCCAGAGCAAGCCAGCAAGTCAGGCTGGAATCTTTGGGGGCTG